AATCCTAATTCTTTAAGTGGTCCTTTTAAGAGGCAAACATCAATATAAAATAGAAATCTAAAGTAATTTTATCTATATTCTATAGAACTCTGAAAAGTCAGGCAATCAGGTATATTGGCACTGAAGTACATAAGGGAAGAGTATTATAAATTGTAATGATACTCAGCTCAGACTCTTAAGGAAGTATTTGTTCAGACCATGATGGCTCTAGAACTCTTTCAATAGCAGTAGAAACTCAAGATTTTAAAAATATATTGATTAAAAAGGGTCAAATAAGTTTCAAAAATCTATTTAGAATCTATATTATCCCACCTGGCTTCAACCTGTCCTACTTCTTGCTAAAATCCACTTAGCATTCATCTGATTTATAGTGCAGTGATCCCAGTATATTTATTTCTTTTTCAATTCACCTTTAATAAGATAAATAAAATTTAATGAGTGCTGGGAGGATAATCATAAATGAGATGAAAGGGCCAGCCTCTTTCTAGTCACATAAATTAGGATAGCTATAAAATATACCAACTAATTAAAATAAAATTTAAAAAGTGTACTCTACCAATATTTAGAAAGATCTCTTTGCTCCTTTGTAAAATGAACACTGCATTTACTTATCCCTTCTTCCTAAAATCTCTTGTTCTCCCTTCTTCTTCAGAGGTCTAAGACAATCTTGGATTTTAATCTTGTATTTCTTTGTGAAGTCGACCCATTTCAAGCTAGACTGTCACCTCCCACTTAATTCTTCCTAATCACTATCAGATGGCTATTGAATGCTTACTTTGTGTTCTATGAGGTGGTAGGCATTTATATACTATAATTTCTCTAAAATATCATCTCTGTCCTTAAGTTAGGGATATGTGCAAAATGATCACCCACACATGCACACACACAGACATGCTCTCATGCACACGGTTAGTTCCAGGAATAAGCCCTTCAGAAGAGGAGGAGAGTGTGGGTTCTGACAGCAAACTTACTTGGGAAAATAGGACTAGGCCCTGAAGGAAAGATGGGATGTAGGTGAGGGAAAGAAGATGAAAAGCAAAAAAGAAAAGAGCAGAAAGCTAAATAGTTAAGGCAAAACAAATGTACTAAATAGTTAAGGCAAAACAAATGTACTAGTTTAGAGTAGAAGTTGGAGTGGAGGGAAAGTTTTCAATGTGGAGCATCAAAATGAATAATATGGATGCTAACATGGTATCTCTTGTTTTCCAAAAATAACTTGTAAGAAGCACTAATCCATAGCTATTCTCTTCTAAAGCTTCAAAACATCTCCATCAATCTCAGGAATCTTTCTATATTTTACCATATAAGATTTTGCCATTTTGGAGTTGAATGGAAAGACTAAAATAAAAGTTTCAGTTTTGTTTTGTCCTGAATCTTAAGGATATTTAGTTCTTTGATTCAGCAAATAAATGCTAAACTCATCATTTTCCCTCTTGAACCTCTCCTCCTGTGTCCATTCTTGTTCTTTTGAGCTTTTAAAGTTTCTGTGACCTCTCCCAATTTTCTTCTTTGTCCTCAGCATTCCATTGGTTGTCTTGTTCTAGTATTTCTCCTTACAGCGCTTCTGGTATCAATTCCTGCTCTTCATGCACAGTCTTGTACTTAAGTCAGATACTACATATTACAAGATTACTTCTGTTTCCATCTTTCTCACCTCCAACATATCCTACTATACATGAGCTTCATGCAGTCACAGTTCTTTCAGTACACTGTCAGATTACTTTGCCTAAACGCAGCTCTGATACTGTGAAGCTCAAGCTCATTACATTCACAGGCTCCATACTGGGGAAAATAAAACCCATAGCTTGATATTTAAGACATTCCACAGTCTAGTCCCACTTCATATATTCTAAATTCTACTTTACTTTTAATACTCTAAATTCCTATCAAAACTAAGAATCAATTTTTTCTAGGCACATATCACAAGTTCCTGTTCTGGGTTGATATTATTCTCTCTTTTTGAATTGTTAATTGTGTACAACCTTAGATTACACCATTTTATATAAAAAAATTTCTTATCCTGCTGACTCTAGCTGATGCCTACCATGAAGCCAGGCCTCGTATTGTTTAAACTTCATATACCTTACTTCATGAATTATAAGAAGATGTGGGAGGAAAAGAAAAGTGATTGTCTGGTAAACTTACCGCATGCTTATGAAGTGCCATTAAAATGGGAAGTATTTTAATATTGTTTATAGTCTCATTTACAATAACAATCGGGTATTACAAGAGGTAATATGAACCAGTAAATGTGTACACAGCACTATGAGGGACACACAGAGCAATTATTATGCTTCAGGCACTCATTTCATTTGCAAGTATTCTGAGAGGTAGGTATTATTGCTAACCTCATTTTCAGCTGAGAGAACTGAGGGGAAAATGAATCCTATTCAGCTATTAAATGCTAAATCTGGGATTGGAACCCCTGTAATCTGTACTACTGATACCACCAGACTTTTCTGGGTCTAGTTTCTAATTGCATCCGCATAACTATCCCCCTCCGAAACAACAACAACAAGTACCATGACTTCATTTCAGGACACGTAAGCATGCTTTTTAAATGGTTCATAAAAATTCTTCCATTTCTGTTAAATTTTCAAATTCAATTATATGCAGCCAAATTTTGATTGAGAGAATTAGATAATATTTTTCTTTGGCTTATAATGTACATAAAATGTCTAACAAATTCTTTAAGTGAAAGTTTCTAAACACTCTATAAAGATGAAAATATAAAATACTGAAATGAAATTCTATCAACAATATTTGACATCTTATATATAAAAAGTTAATAACAGCAGAGACTGATGAAAAAATGAATGTAATTCAATGTTTTCCATGATAATTAAAAGTTTGATTATAATTTATATAAATTAGAAAAAGACAAGATTTGGATTTCCTCTAATTTTTCTCTTTTCTGAAATCAATTTTTAATAAGCTGAGGGGAACTTTCCTTTTATCTCTCTAAGAAAAATACATAAAAATATTCAAATATTGCATAAATGTACAGTTTGTTAAATGAACATTTTAATTTTATAAAGCCATAATGGCAGGAAATCAGGCATTATATATACAATTTTTACATATCATTTTAAACATAATATTTTCTTTTCTGACATATTCCACAATTAAACTGTAGCTAAACTAATAAAATGAAGAACCTAAAATAGTAATTACCAAATGAGGAATATTACAACCCTAAAAATGCCATAATTTAGCCTCATATTATCTTAAGTTCTAAAAAGATAATGTTTGATAAACTACTTTATTGCATCATTATTTTTAATTTTAATACCATCACATTAAAAATACTTCTCTACATGTTCTCTATATATGGTCTAGAACAACTATCTACTGCATCCTAGCAAAAGGGAGTTGTAGCAACAGCTTAAATACTTTTATTATGAATGTCATTTCTCTAAACTAGGTCTTTTCTTAATGGGGGAAAACAGGCTCTAACTCTTGTTTGCTCTTTAAAATTGTATTGTTTTAACATTAGCATACTCAGGAGAACTGAAAGTAAAAGGCATGCAGCTACCCTCCGCCTGGCTCCAGGATAAAGCAGGAATGGAAAACTTTTGTCTGATTGCTCACTTTCCTTATTTTACTGTACTGCTATTCTCAAGAGCATATATTCATGTTCTTGCTTCTTCGAGTTTTATTACTGCTTTTGTATTATTTAATACATCTAAAGACACTTCCAAAAGACAAATTTTTCCATTTTGAAAAAGTCATGGTTTCGAACCTGATGAAACACATTAATGTTCACAGTGCGTTTTTCAAAAAGGTGATAGAATAAAAGTGCTATAAAGCAATTAGGTACATGATCTGAAAGACATTAATATGTCAAGTAGAATAAGATGTTTTAAAAGTCAACAAAATAAAATTCTGTGAAACCAGACACATATAAAGATCACATTTCTCTTTCAGATCTTTGACTAGATACTTAATTCAAACATAGGTGGAGAAAATATAAAAATGAGAGAAAGTAATAAACTTACCTCAATAATTTAAAATTGGAAGTATATAACATTTAACTTTAGGAAGTACATACAGACATAAGTTATAATTCAATATAACAACTGAAAGGTGTATATATATATATACACACACACACATATATACATATATATATACATATATATACATATATATGTATATATATATTTCAGATTCTGATTTTTCCCCCCTGAATTCTAGGTACTCCCATAGTCTGTACGTTTTAATAAACAAGAAACTGATATGGTTGGCCTATTGAATAAGCCCAGGCATTTTTAGAGTGTTATACACATTTCTGAAATTCACAAAACATCAATTTTTAATACATCTACTCTCTCAGCTCCATTAAAAGGATGGTAGGGGAAAGATTTTAGAGTAATTAATGATATAGTTAGCTGCTAAATATTAATAGGAATCGTAGTCTTGCATAAAATATAACGTATAAACCTTGCCAATACAGACGCACCAGTAATTAAAGTTGAATATGTAATTACACTGATTAATATGACAGGCAAAAAGTTACACTTTACTGGTTTCTATGTAAACTGTGGGTAACAGTTAAACTTTGCATTTTATGGTTTATAAAAATGGGCAATATCTTGACTACAGTTCATAAATGGTTTAGAGACCTGCAATAGTAGTAAAAATTATGCCAACTTGCTCCATCATAAATATTCTTACTGCACCATGCAAACCAAACTGTGATAATGATCCATAAGATATAGAGTCATCTTAGGCACTGCTTTACATCCCAGAGAATGTTCGTTGTGTTAAGAATTTGTAGGGAACTGTTACTACAATAATTATGGGACATTGGAGAGATTCTAAAGATTCTTAAATTTGATTTGGATACACATATTCACATCATGAACATGGTGCAATTTAACTCCACTTAAACTTGTACTTTTTACTTATACATCATTCGAATCTTCAGAAGAATACTCAATTTTAGGAGCCTATGAATATAAGCTCTTCCTTTTATGGAAACTGCTAACCACACTTACATGTGTGGCTGAGGCGAGCAGCCCGGACTGCTGTTCCCGTTGCTGTCCATGTGGTCCAGGGAGCCGTTGAGATCCTCGTGGACAGCCTGGAGGAGGCCGCTGGACGCGTTATTGATCAGGCCGGGGTTACTGAGCAAAGGCAAACTGCTCTCTGCCAACGCAGCCTAGTGACATGAAGAGGGTGGAAAACGGCTTGTGAAATGCTCTTTAAAATATTTTTTAAAACATAAACATTCTTTTAATGGGTTTGAATCATGGCGTGGATATTTTAGAAGCATGTAAATAAAACGCACGGAAGGACAAAGATTTCTAATGGGCAACTCGTGGCAGAGACACCAAGCAAATGAACTGAGATGTGAAAATATGGAGGAATAGTTCTCCCAGAAAACTTTTTTACTCATGTGTTAGCCTTCCACATAATGAAATGCTGTATCCTCACTTGTAGCGAGAAACTCCGAGATA